ATTCCCAAACCCTAAAATCCAGTTATTCCCTGTAACTCCTGTTCCTTATCCCTAAAATCCAACCATTCTCTATAACCTCCCACTCCCTATCCCTAAAATCCAGGATTTATCTCAGATCCTGAGGCAGAAAATCCCAACCCTGAGGTGAAAAATCCCAAAATATGAGAGAAAAAATCCCAAACACTGAGGGAAAATCTCAATCCAGAGGGAAAATCCCAACTGTGAGGGGGGAGAAAAAAATCCCAACTCTGATGGGGAAAATATCCTGTGAGGGGAAAAAAAAAATATCCAAATCCTGAGGGGAAAAATCAGAAAATTTGAGAGGAAAATCCCAAACTCTCAGAGAAAAATCCCAGCCCTGATGGAAAAATTTTAGACCTGAGGGAAAATCCCAAAAATGAAGGAAAAATCCCAAATCCTGAGGGAAAAATCCCAATCCTGAGGGAAAAATTGCAACCCTGAGGAGAAAATCCCAAAGTCTGACCGAAACTGTCAGGGGAAAAAAACCCCCAAATCTTGAGAGAAAAAACGCAAAACCCTGAGGGAAGAAAAATCCCAAACCCTGAGAGAAAAATTCCAAACTTGGAGAGAAAAATCCCAACTGTGAGGGAAAAATCCCAATTCTGAGGGGAAAAATCCCACACTGTGAGGGAAAAAAATCCCAATCCTATGGGAAAAATCTCAAATTCTGAGAGGAAAAAATATCCCAAACTCTGAGGGGAAAAATTCCAAAATCTGAGAGAAAAATCCCAAACTCTGAGGGAAGAATTTTACTCCTGAGGGAAAATCCCAACCGTGAAGGAAAAATCCAAAACTCTGAGAGGAAAATCCCAATCCTGAGGGGAAAAATCCCAAATCCTGAGGGAAAAAAATTTCCAAATCCTGAGGGGAAAAATCCCAAACCCTGAGGGAGAAAAATCCAAATCCTGAGGGGAAAATTCCCAAAATCTGAGAGGAAAATTCCAAACTCTCAAAGAAAAAATCCCAACCCTGAAGGAAAAAATTTACCCCTGAGGGAAAAATCCAAAACTCTGAGGGCACAAAATGCAAACCCTGAGGGAAAAGAAATGCGAAAACCTGAGGGGAAGATTTTAACCCTGAGGAGAAAAATCCCAACTGTGAGGGAAAAAAATCCCAAGCCTGAGGGAAGAAATCCTAAAACTTGAGGAGAAAAATCCCAAACACTGATGGAAAATCCCAAACTCTGAGAGAAAAATGCCAACTGAAAAAGTTTCAAACTCGGAGAGAAAAACCCCATCTGTGAGGGGAAAAAAGATCCCAATGCTGAGGGAAAATGTCAAGCCTGAGGGGAAAATCCTAATCCTGAGGGAAAAATCCCAAACTCTGAGAGAAAAATGCCAACTGTGAGGGCAAAAAATTCCCAAACTCTGAGAGAAAAAAATCCAAATCCTGAGGGGAAAAATCCCAAACATTGATGGAAAATCCCAAACTCTGAGAGAAAAATGCCAACTGAAAAAGTTTCAAACTCGGAGAGAAAAACCCCATCTGTGAGGGGAAAAAAGATCCCAATGCTGAGGGAAAATGTCAAGCCTGAGGGGAAAATCCTAATCCTGAGGGAAAAATCCCAAACTCTGAGAGAAAAAATTCCAAATCCTGAGGGGAAAAATCTCAAAATCTGAGAGGAAAATTCCAAACTCTCAAAGAAAACCTCCCAAACCTGAGGGAAAAATTTTACCCCTGAGGGAAAAATCTAAAACTCTGAGGGGAAAAAATCTGAAAACCTGAGGGGAAAATTTTAACCCTGAGGAGAAAAATCCCAACTGTGAGGGAAAAAAATCCCAAGCCCGAGGGGAGAAATCCCAATCCTGAAAAAACCCAACCCTGAGAGAAGAATCCCAAAACTTGAGGGGAAAAATCCCAAACACTGATGGAAAATCCCAAACTCTGAGACTAAAATGCCAACTGAAAGAGAAAAAAATCCCAAACTCAGAGAGGAAAAATCCCAACTGTGACGGCAAAAAAAATCCCAAACTCTGATGGAAAAAATTCCAAATCCTGAGGGGAAAAATTCCAAATCCTGAGGGGAAAAATCCCAACCCTGAGAGAAAAATTTTACCCCCGAGTTAAAAAAAACCCCAAAATCACTGCAGGAAAATTCTCCCACTCCTCAAAAAAAAAAAATAAAACCACCCTAAATGGTGAAAAAAAAGCGAATTTTTACCTGAGGAGAGTCGGTGTGGCAGGACAAGGAGCAGGTGAGTGTGTGCTCCCCCATGGAATAGGGGTACTGCTGTAGGAAACTGTGCATGTACCGCGCTGATTTGGGACTGTCCAACTGCAGGATGGCCTGGGGGGGGGGAAAATTCAAAAGAAATCAAATTATTTTCATGTCTTTGAATGTGCTGGAAAGTCACGGAAATTGAGAAAGATGTCGGTTCGTTTCTCGTCGATTTACGGGTGTGGAAAGGTTAAAAGACGCCTTGAAATGTGGTGGTTTGGATTTAAAATTTAAACACCCCCCCCGCCCTAAAAATTCCCCTAAAAATCCCTCCAAAATCTCTCAAAATTTCAGAAAAAAATTTCCCGAAGAAATAAAAAATTTCCCCCAAATCTCCTCAAAATCCCTCAAACATTCAGAAAAAAATTTCCCCCCCCCCCAAAAATCCTTCAAAAATCCTCCAAAAATTCATTCAAAAATTCTCTGAAAATTAAAAAAATCCTATACATTCCCCAAAAAGCCTCCAAAAAATAGAAAAAAATTTCCCAAAGAAATTTAAAAAAATTCCAAAAAAATCCCGCAAAAATCCCTAAAAATGCCCCCCAAAAATGCCGAAAAATCCCAAAACTCCCCCCAAAACTCCCCCAAAAATCCTGAAAAAATCCCCAAATTTCCCCTATAAATCCCCTATAAAAAAATCCCATAAAATGCCCCATAAGTGCCCTGTTTGTGCTGTACCCGGTGGCAGTTGGCCAGCACGGCGTAGTGCTCCACTTTGCCAAAACTGCCCCAAAATTTCCAAATGATCCTGCAAAATTCCAAAAATTCCCAAAAAACTCCCTCCAAAATTTTTGAAAAATCCCCAAAATCCCT